GACTCGGCCCTGCCGGCTCATCTCCACCTGTGGAGATGCGCCAGAGAACTGCAGCCAACGCGCGGGAGAGAGATCGCACTAATTCTGTCAACACAGCATTCACAGCGCTTCGCACACTCATCCCCACTGAGCCTGCAGACAGGTACAGAGCAGCATGAGAAAACTGGTCTGATGCACAACAACGTGACACAATCGGTCCTATCTGAAAGCCAGTATGTAAAAAATAGTAGTGCATGATGCAGCTCTGGGTTACATGCACCTTTAATTACAATTAGCCGACCTTTCTTTTCACCAAGCATGTAATCTAACTGCAGCAAAACTGCATTTAATAATAATTGGATATTTCCTATAACAAACTGTATATGAAGTGCAACAGTGCCAATGCATGCTCTTTTTCTCTCATTTCTTTTGATTAATATCATAAATCCTGTTCTGATTTGATGATTAGGAAGCTGTCGAAGATCGAGACACTACGTTTGGCCAGCAGCTACATCAGTCATCTGGGGAACGTCCTGCTCCTGGGTGAAGGGCTTCATGACGGACAGCCATGCCACGCTCCTTCGCCACCGTTCTTCCACGTTAACTCCTCCCCCAACCGTGGATCTGACCAATCAGCTCAGCCCAAGCACATCTGTACTTTCTGCCTCAGCAACCAGAGGAAACTGGTGAGCAGACAGCTGTCAGTCAACAGCAAGGGATGGGGTGAAAAGGTCCATCCATCCATTTTCTAAACCGCTTAGTCCCAAATGGGGTCACGGGGGGCTGGAGCCGGGATGAAAAGGTCTATAATAAAAATCTAGGAAGCCCTCCAGTAAAACCGTAATCAACACATTCGTTTAAAATGGCACTAAATAGAAGGAAATTAGCAAAAAACAACAAAAAAGGCTTCTCACATTTTTTTTTACACATAATCAAGAATTTAAATGAATTTCTTTAGTCATATTTTAAATGTTATAAACAGACCACATATTTTTTCCAGTATTAAAAAAGAGAAAATGACCCAGATACAGATTAATGACTGAAGCTTCTTTTGCAAAACCGTGCAGTGGTTTATGGTCAGTGTTTAAAGCTGTGTAAAGCTGGCCTGAGATCAGTGACTGTGTCGTAAACCTGACCAGCCCTGAGGGACTTTTAAAAGCAAACCCGTCTTAAAGTCTCCTCATGGGGTGAAGGACTGTGCATGATTGACCTGTTGGGGGTTAGTTTACCTTAACTTGAGCAGGTGGCTTGAACATTCAGGGCAGTTTCTGAGACTTACTGGACATTACAGAAATTTTTTTCCTTGTTTGTCAGAGGAGTCAAGACAATATTGAGCAGAGAGATGAGTCAAAGAGCAAGCAGCCTTTTCCATCACAACATGACAAAGCGTGCATAGCTGTTGGATAAAAACCATCTGACTGCCTTTGTGGTGTTTTCTCTTTTTCCTTTCTCATTTTAAAAATATGATTTTAGAGTTTACAAGGGTAGTTATGCAGAGAGTGAGATTTATGACAGGGAACCCATGAAATCCATCCAAAACCATGTGTATAATTTCAAGAATGTATTGACGTCAGCCTGAGTTTGAGGGTTTTAATCATACAGTAAGTCTTAAAGAATTGGTGACTGGAAACGGCTTTGTGCCACTGAAACTAGATGTCACAAGACCAAACGCAGGTGTGTGTGACCCACACACTTTTAAAGTACATATACCTAGATTTATAAACAACTTCACAGCTTAATTTTTCATTTCCCTTCTCCCTCCTCTGTTGCACTGCCAGTCCACACCTTAATAGAGATGCAGAAAAAGAGAGCTTCATCCTGTGCAAATTTCAACTCATGTGATTGATTTGGCACAGGAAAGCAACACAATCAGCAACACTCTCAGCATAAGAAAGTCAATCAGTGATGAGAATTAACAGGGGATGAAGATCTGACATCAGCTGATTGATATAAAAGTTTATAGGAGTCCAGCTCCGACCTCAACAAATGCCACATAGAGAGGTGACATCCACTCAGCTTTCTGCCTCTAACCCATAGCCACTGGCCATTTAGCAGGATTTATGGGTGAGGAGCTGACATCTGGCAGACTCCCCCGTTACCCCGGCAGTGTGTGAAAACTAATACCCTCCTCAGTGTCTAAACCCAGAGACCTTCTAGCTGGGGGATAACGTGAGTCTCAGTAGAGGGTGTCTCCACCTCCTTCCTGCCTCTGAATCTCTATGAGTGAAAGCATAGACGTCCTTGGTGTCTAAACCCAGACGCCCGTGGCTGAAACCTGTCTTTTTCTCTCTACGCTGTCTCCTGTTCCTCTTGCTTCTGTCTGTTTTCCCCTTTTCTTAGTCTGTTCATCCTTTACTCCACAGTACCCTCAAACACTTCTCATTCTGTTTCACTTTACCCTCCTCAGTTTCTTCATCACGTCCTGCTGCTCCCTCACTCCTCCCTCAGCTCCCAGCATATCGATCAACCTGGTGGAGGTCAGAGCTGTCAGTAGGAGCTGTGTAATACTATCTGCTGCTGTCAGCTCACTGCTGCAGATGCATGACTGACCTGTAAATGTATGCTGAGCAGAGAGTTGTGAAACTTTCTCATGTCAAAACCCTGAGACATAGACGCTTTGACTCAGTCAGTGTTACTTACTGTCAATAACATTGTGCTGTTTCACATTAGCTCCACAGAAAATCTCACTAGTCTCGGTTTTATACTGTATGTTGTACAGTATGCCAAATATTTTTAGTGAATGAAGTGAATCCAGCTAGAAATCACTATCTCCTCAGTACCTCCTCACAGATTTCCTTAAGTTTACACCAGCTGCCACTGAGGAGTATGAAGACAAATTAGTGAATAATTATGAAGTTGATATTCAATTTGAATTTGATATTAACACACACAGAAACATATACCGTAAATATTTTAAACAGCTCATAAATATATCGCTTCACCTCTGTAATGGCTCAATACATTCCTAAAACTACAGGGTTTTTAGCCAATAATACTAAAACAAGTGGAAATGGTGTATTTGTTGGGGACTAGTTTGAGCGGCGGATTAACACACATTTGATGCTCCAGTTAACATTTAGAGCAGCAGAGCATATTTTGACTCACACTGATGGGACTGATGCAAACTAATCTGTAGAGGCATGTTGATGTTAATGAAGGAACGTGTCACTCGGTGCACAGAGGGAACTTGTTTGTGATTTACTGATAACAAGACAAATGTAGAATATCACTAGTTTTAACTTTGTGATGCTTTTTCTTTTACCACACTGATATATACACTGCCAGTCAAAGGTTTGGACATGTTACCACTAAATTGAATGAGAAAGTGTGTCCAGTAGTTCGACTGGTAGCGTACAGCACCGGTGACTTTATAACAACAAGTAAACATAGACAGTAACTGGTGAAAGATGTGGTATAGTTGAACTGTCTTGCAGCTCATATCATGGCTTGTGAGAATATTAAAGCTACAGTTGCCAAATGAAATTGATATTACTAGTCTGAAAGTTATTTTAGGAGAAAAACAAGGGAGTCAAAAATCACCTGGCGTTTAAGTGGTTAACTCTGATTGGCAGAACCCGAGAGCATCTCATTTTCCCTGGAAAAGTGGCTATACATTGCATGTAAGTGGGGTAAAGGGCAGAGTCAATGCTGGTGATTACAGAGAGGAAACGATTGTGAAGGTAAAATGAGACCTTGTGTCCTGAGTGCTCTCTTTGTATGTTTTATGGTCATCGAGGTTCATCACAGCTGTCAGGTCTGCTTAGACCAGCTGCTTCAATTATGCTTATTTCCACTGTAGGAGAGGGTGAAAGTGAGAAAAGTATACGCTCATTTCCTCTTATTACGTGTGTGTATACAGTATAACTGTTTCAGCCTTGTTAGTAATGACTACTGCGTAGCCAAGGAGAAAAACTGCATTTTACATTTTCTGTGGAATACTGATGTGATTTTCTTATCTGTGTGACTTTACATACATTTGAAGAATATATGATAAAGCTTATTATCTTTTTATGCTAGAATGTGTTTCTAGATGGTGACAGTAAAATGTCTAAAAACCAGTTTTCCATTTTCTATATTTAGAAAAAGATTTTTGAGACACTTGAGGAAGCTCCATTAATCCATTAATATGTTCCCGTGATTCAGTCTATCCTTTTTAAGTTAGTGTCAAGCCAAGCTATTCATCCACATATATCATGATGAATTTCAACTCTTCATAGAGTCAGTTCTGGGGTAAAGCACCAGCATTTAGACAAACTGGAGCACAGCCCTCACCTATTGGTGCCTTTGATACATGCAGTCAAAAAAAGGGGGGGTGGGGGTACTCTTCATGGCAACATCTGTAAATGAGATGTACAGGGCTGAGGATACTGAGGATTGAGGTGAGCTAAGGGCTGCTTTAAATCCCTGTGCTGTCTGGTTGATTGATGCAGATATCCTGTGTTAGGCCTCCCTGCGTCTGCTGATCAGTGCAACTGTCAGGTGCCTGCAGCGGCAGAACTGCACAATCACAGCTTTTTTAATTATCACACCTTCAGGCTATATCTGCTAGAAGGCACCTTAAAGGACCTTGAAATATATTGTTCCTGTTAGGCATTACCAGTGTGGCTTGTGCTCATTACGCAGTGGGTGAGATACTACTGTACCACTGAACAATATCGAGATAGCATTTATTCAGTTATTCTCTGATACGTAACAAAAACAGAGGCTTTCAGATGTGCGGATCTGTGTCCCTTTTCTGTGCTTAGGCTGTAGTGCTTGAAGCACTAACAGCTTTCTCAACTGTGGCTTATTCCTTGATGCCAAAAGCAGGGCAAAATTCAGTGGCAAATGTAAATAGAAATGGTTACCCGTCTGCCAGTAACAGCAGACAGACTGAACTTTTTCCATTTATGCTAGATATGACAAGTCATAACATTTTCCAGTATTTGATACTGTAAATTAAACAGAGAATTTATAAGTTTGGAAACAAATGAAAATTCTAGAAAAAACATAACTACCATGATGCCTGTAGTGTGGTGTCTGTAAATAGACCATTGTCCCTCTGAGGAAGTTAACTTTACAAGAGTTTACTAGAAGTTTAAGATATGACCCTGATGTAATTCCAAATTGAAGGAGTCTACAAATTAAAAACAAATGTGTAAAGTAAGTCCAAAAACAAACATAACAAATGATTTACAGTGCTCCTAATATTACACACAGTTTGAATCAACATCTGGGCTGCGGTAAAGCTTTTACATGTGATGACTTTTGTGGGTGGCTGGAAAGCAGGGCAGACGGAAAGAAAGTGGCACTGAAACAGCTCTGGGCTACTGGAAACTGATTTATCTCTTCATGTGTGTTTGTAGATGTATCTGACAGTAAATGAATGCTACAAAGTGTGTGCGCTGTATGTGTAAAAGAGAGGAAGAGAGACAAGTACATGTGTGTGTGTATGAGATGGGTATGAGATTTATAGGTGTCCTTGCATATATACTGTACACACATACTACACACAAACACGCACACACACACACTGGCTGACTGTGTCTGGAAGTCATTGGCAGAGCAGAGCGGAGCAACAAATGAGCTAATTGTTCTGTAAATGATTTATTCTCTGCTGAGGCCTGTACAGCCAGCGTTTAATTCAGCTGCTGCTATTATAAATACACTGACGTTCAGCTTTGATGGTGATGTTGGAGAAGCCTGGAAACCACTCGGTGTGAAAGGCCATCCCTGTTTACACGCACACTCACCTAAACAAATGACATACGTGGCGAGGCACGGCAAGAAATATTCTGAAATACACATGTATACAGTGCACCACACTCACAGACTTTTATCAAAAGCATTTTATTCCACTCCTTCTATTTTTTCTCATCTTTTCAGCCAGACAGCAAAAACCCGGTATATGATTACTCAGTTAAGGAGCCCGGGATGACTGTGCTTTCAACACTTTCTAAACTAATGGCATGCAGGAAGTTGTGGAAACAGAGATGGAGAAATAGAGAAGGTGAGAGAAAGAGCAAACGACACAGCAGGATAATCAACTTAGCATTTATCCTCCAGTCTGAACAGTTGGTTTTCAACTATGCCGAAACTACACTTGACTTCTTTATTGAGATCAAATGAGGAGGGCTTAATGCATGGGTAGAACATGTGCAGGAGCACGTTAATGTCGGCGGTTTTTATAGTCGTTTGAAAATTAGAGTGTTTTCACTGAAAAAGAAGTATTCAAGGTTATAGAAGAAAACTGATTGTCCTCATTTACTGATTCTGGTGCTGACTTGGAGTTAATGTTTTTTGTCTCATGAGCAACAGCTTTGCCTGTTTGCTTCTCATTTCAAACTGCACTATTGAGGTACATAGCTGATATACTGCAGGCAGCTTCAAAAATATTATCACCACTTTCTGATCTGTGTGTGTGTGTGTGTGTGTGTGTGTGTGTGTGACTGGCTTTGTGTATGACTGTATGCCTTCATACATGAACCTGTCTTTGTATTTTCAGCACAGATGGAAGCTGTTAAAGCCTAATTTAACACCAACAGAAGAAGTCGGGTCAGATAACTAACAAAATCTATTAGCAAAACTATCATTCTGTTGTCCTTTGGTCTTTGGGGAGAGGGTTGCTCACCAGGCAAATTAAAACAAAACTATGGAAAGCTGAGCCAGGCAAAGGGCAAACACATCCACAGCACAGAGAAAAGCAGAAGTTGTTGGTTTAATCTAGGCAGTTTCTTAAAACAATATCTACTGAAGCTAATGACGTATTGGCTGTTGCAGAGTGCATATCATAGCGCAGATGATAAAGTGATGGTTAGTGCATAATGTAGCAGAATTAAGTCATCCAAGACTGGTGAAAATGGTGTTGGGCTTGTTCTGGAGTCATAACAGATGACAGTAATGTGGGAATAATTAAACACATGTGTGGCTAGCTGGTGTGAAAGACATCTGATTAGCTATTCTAAGATAAATCAAGTGTTTGTCTGAAGCCACTAGGATGCTTTTTAGCATACCAGAGTGAACATGAAGTACATGTCTGGTGTATCCAAGCTACATAACGGCAGATGTAGCTCATTTGGTGTATTAGTTATGTTAATTTAAACATCTGATGTGATACGTATTTCACCATTCATTTTCTAATTGATGATCATCTATGACAGTAATTACAACTTCTATTAGCCACGTTAACTTGATAAACTAACATGATATTAACAGTTTTAACTTCATTTTTAAATACCAAAGTCCTTTTATGGTTGTTGGGCCATTACCAAAGTGCTATTATTTTTTCCAACCAGTCATTCCTCCGCTCATTCAGCCAGAAGCCAAATTAGATGCTTGTGTTTGACAGAACGGTTTAATGCAGGGGAAAAGATCCAGAGAAAACCTGGTTACAGGTAAAGGAATGCTCTGGACTGAGCTTTGATAAAACAATATTAATGTTTGAATTTGTGGAGTTTAAAAAGAACACAGAGATGATTATTGACTATCTTCACGTTAAAGGCAAGCTTCTTTCGCCTTGATGAAATGATAATATTGTTCTAGTGTGGTAATATCATCATGTCGTATCTAAAGTAAACATCATCAGTTAATCATATTAGTGTCGGACAAATCACCCCCCCGGGAAGTCAGTGTGTCTGTGGCTGGGTGGGTGTTTGCAGAGAGAAACAGAGCCAGAGCATAGGTGTCATCCAACCATGCCCTATTAGTCTTCAGGAGATTATTTTGACTTCCAAGCCAGCAGTAAAGCCCCCGTGCTCCTGTTTTGACTGAGCCAGCCGTACTGCAGCTGGACCGCCCTCACCAGTTACAGCTGTGCCTCTCAAACTGTCGTTGAGTGCTCATAGTGAGACGTGGGCTGATTTCATGGTAATTTAATGCAATTTGGTAAATCGTCCAGTTGTCATGCACAGTTTTTAAGTGAGTGTTTTCATGTACTCACTTTCTTTAACCTGCAATGAGTACTTTTATTTCCACTGATAAATACGCAGAGTTTTCCACAGTGCCTTCCAACGAACTCCGGGGAGCATGGATGCTGTTGGTTTTAGAGTTTGCATTTGAAGAAAGCACAATAACAGCAATGTCATACTAATCATTTCTTAGACTCTGTTAGAAATCATTAATTTGTTCACAATTTAGACAATTCCCTGCAGATTTTACAGTGTGTCAGATGACAAAATTAAAGAACAATCCCAGCTGACAGTGCCCGAGAGGCAGGGTCCACCCTGGACAGGTCACCAGTCTGTCACAGGGCTGACATGTAGACAAACAACCACACACACACACACACACACACACACACTCCTAGGGGCAGTTTAGATCCAGTCAGCCTGAGCTGCATGTCCAGACAGAAAGGACCCGGGTCGGCCCGGGCTTGAACCCAGAACCTTCTTGCTGTGAAGCGACAGTGCTAACCACTGCTGTGCTGTGCTGCCGTTCCAATTTGTCTCTCCAATAAATTACACTTCTAGACACCTTACTATTTTTAATTGCAATTTAAAGGCATTTTTTCCTAAATTATAACGTTTCTTGTTGTCCAATTGCAGGACCAGGTCCCCACAGACTGGGGTTCACGTCCCAAGTTCAGTGTGTGCTGAACAAGGCAGCAAGAAAGGTTATAGACTTTTTCAATATGTAACCAAGACCTGAGTCTTTCCATAGCATTAACCAATTACCACCAGTGCCTGAACATACAGTAACCATGAAGAACCTAATCATACTTATTTGCTATGCCTGTAACTGTGCCAGATAAATGTAAACATGAGGCCAAATCATTTACATTTGGCACAAATATCACCTGAAATAAAGACACCACTAAACAACAAGTGTACCATAGCCAACAATACAGTGTGATAGTTTGTGTCTAGATCATAGCAATCTAATAATGATCCTCTGTTGTCAGTGCAGCTGGAAGAAGAATTGACAGTAATAGTTTGTCTCCTCACACTCACCTCAATCAGTGGGAGGACCAATTCCTGTCCAGATCCTATGATCTCACTCTCCCATTACTGCCTGATACCCTTCCAAACACCTACCCACCATTGTTGATGTCAGTCAAACAGATTTTTCCGAACCTCTACACCTCATGCATGGTCTGAGAGGAAATGTGTAACAGGTGTTCAGCTGATGAGGGGGGCTGCAAAGAGAGAAAAGTCAGGAGAGGACAAGAGTGCAGGAGCTGAGCATCTCTGTGTACTTACACTACCACATCAAATTACGTTAGCCTGATTTCTTTTGCAAAAAAAAATAAAAAGAACACAGAGATGAGGTTATATTGCCAGCTATGAGTTAATCTTTGAAACATCTGTCCTGAAAAGTACTCACCAAAACAGGGATGACATGTGGTGCACATCACTCAGTGGGGTGTTCAACAAAATCCCTTGACTGTCGCTTGAAAAGCCGGTGGCCTGAGAAGCGAGCAGAGCAGAGGTTAGGTGAGGAGGGAAAATGTGATGTTATTTTCCTGGCCAGATAGACAGAGTTTCCTCATCAGCCAGGAAATCAAGGCTTCTCTCTTCTGATACCACAGATGAGAAGCATCACACTGGGCTGCCATACAGCAGCTCATTATGTCACTGTACAGGCTTTAATTAAAATTAAACACATGGTTTCCCCCAAAACTGATGCATGTGTGCTACTGTACAGAATATGTTTATCTGAGTTTACTGCACATGATCATGGTTCATGACCCCAGAAGCATACTAGCAGCTGTGGAGCCAATGACTGCAGTAAAACAATATTTATTTCCACAGTACGCTCTGTATTTTGCTGGAGTGCAATTTCAGGACACCACGATGAAGGGCTGACACCAAATGCAGCAAATGTAAAGAAAGAAAGGGTTACAAAATTGTTACCCTGTACTCCTTTAGAAGCTTTGTAATACAATGTGATGATCAGTTGGTTGTGTTAGGTGTTTCTAGTATTTATACTAAGCTAAACACCACTTTATGTTGTTGAATTCTCGATGATGTGAGATGTTGCTTTTTCTCTGTTGCAGAACAAAGACAGAGACAGGAAGACGGCCATCAGAAGCTAACAACTGGGACACAAACCACACGGATAAAACACTCGTTGCTTGGCCGGCGATTTGAGTGATTTTACCATCACTGCGACTTGAAGACTTGTCAGACTTTTTGGTGCATATTAGAGACTTTTGCAGGACTTCTATAGCACTTCCAGGACTTTTCAAGGAACTTCATAAAGCATTTCTTTTTTTTTATGACTTTTATATTGCTTTACAAGAACTTTTTGTTTTTTGAGAGTATTTTCAAATTTGAGACACTTTTAAAAGTGCAGCTTTTTAAGGGCTTTTACATTATAATTAACACAATGGAGAACTTTTCAAGAACACTTCCAAGAGACTTTTTACTGTATTGTTCAGACCCAGTGACTCTTTGTTCTGAGTCCAAGGAACGTATGGCACATGACTGACAAGAAAACACAGAACACCTATGAAAGGCAAATTTGTATTCATCACAATCTGTGTTATTAATGTGTAAACCGAAATATAAATGTATATTTATGTGACATAACATTATATAGTGATACTATGTTATTTAACAGGCATATGACATTCTTGACAAATAATGAGGATCTCTTCAGTGGCAACTGGCACAGTTTATGACAACCACAAAAAACAAACATGCTGGAACTTTTGTGGTATCTTTAATAATCATTCTAGAAAGTGTCTTAATGCTGGAAAATAACTCAAGATGACTAATACATTTTTTGTATATGTGGAAGTAGATTTCATTCGTACGGTGGTATTTTTGATTGTGCTCTCAAATCCTTCCCAGTTCCAACCAATAAACATTATGAAATTTTCCACTGTGGAACTCTACTGTGCCGTGGAGACATTTTAATACCAAATGGTAGTTGTATTGTACTTTAGCTCATTCAGGCAGCTATGGGAGAGATCGTTTAGAGAGTTTCAAATAAATTCCATCACTAATGAAGCAGTGCAGCGACATTCCTCCGCAACTACACCTGTAGCTCACATTATCCTAATTCCTTGGTTTACCTTTGGGTCTCTCTCTCTCTTTCTCGCCGTTTTTGCTGTCATTTTTTTCTGTTCTGGGAACCAAATTCAGAGCAGACAGAAACAGAGGGGTATAGAAGATGAGGTGGACAAGAGAGGTTTGAGGAGCAGAAGCAAGGGGGAAGCAGAATTGAATCTGCAGGTATGACTACTTGGACATCTGCCTGCATCGTAATCTTTACCTTTCCACATGCTCTGTCTCTCTTCTCCTCTCCTCCTCTGCTCTTCCTTTCTTTTCCCTGGAGTGCCACAGGCCAGAGTCTGGCTGGTGATGGCTTTCCAGTGTGTTTAGCCACACAACACTTACCTTCTCCTTACTTTGTTTATCTAGCTAGCCGCCATCCAGCCATGCTTTTCTTCACAGTCGTCTCCTCTCTTTCAGTCTCTTGCTACCTAGTCCTTCTCTTTCAGCTTCCTTCTATTCAATTTGTCTCCAGATCTGTACACTACTTTCATGGAAAATGATCATAGCATAAGCAATGTGGAATGCTGCCCTTCAGTTTTTGAACATATTGGCACACTATTTGTAATAAATAGCTTTTTTATTTCTTCCATTGCCCGTCATATACTTCTCCCTAGCTATGAGTTGAGAGATTACCCTCCCCACTTTTTTATAGTTGATCAAATCTGGTTCTAGCTCCACTAGGATGCAGTGGTTTTACACCTCCCTGGGTCTTCAACTAATCAGAAATGCAATCTTAATGAAAACTAAGGCTGCAGTTACCTGGAAATGTTGCAATTTGTGGCAGATGTGTGAGACATGCTAGTACTAGTTTCTTCTCATTTCATAGGTTTCATTACTAAAACTGCATTGGAAAGCTAGGACTGGTTAATGCAGTCTATACCTGGTCTGTGGCATTCTTTTAAGCATTTAAAAACCACATAACAGTTCTATTTTCCACCATTAAGTGAGATGTAAATGAACTGATCTTTTAATGGAGCCTAGCCCCTGTGCTGTGCCAGATTGCTGTTTCCACATTATGTTTTTTAACAGTGCTAACAATCTGTTCCTTCAATGTGACAAGTGTCTGGTGAAAAAAACAGCCAACAAGAACTCAAATGTCACTTGGTCAGCCTGCCAAAACACAGTTTTTAGTGGAAGGGGCAGCAAAATACAACACTGATTTAGTATGTGTGTAATCTCACAAACTGTCCAGAACTATAAACAGCACCAAACTCTGCAGCCGGTTAATGTGTCCAACGAGTGGTGTCATCTAGAGGACACTTAATTTAATGAAATAACCCACATACAGTAGATGATGAAAGTTCACATTTAAATTTGGGTCTAAAAGAAAAAATATATGGTTTCATACTTCCACACAAAGAAAGTGCTGCAGGCAAATAATAACCTAAAGACAGTTGCAAAATCCCTCCTGGAGAATCGCTTATCCCAAAGACAAAGTACAGTTCTGGCATATTATACATACAATGCTCTTTAAACTCAAGTGCCAGAGCTGGTTTTTCCTCCCAAAACATAACAATGGAAAACAAAAGACTAAATCTCAGGGCACAGCTTCAGTATAAATGGTCCCTGATGCTCACTCGGTCCTGAAACAAAGATTTGAAGAGTGCTGTGCATCTTGTTTAAAAGATCTCACTTCTATTATGAGCCGATGAGACGTAGATAATCTTACTGCTGAAAGTTTTTTTAACAGGAAGCAATAGCTATGAAAAAAGTTCTGCTTGTCTAGTGTGTCCTAATGACTTCTGGTCCAGTTAGTCTGAGAGCATGATCTCTCTAGCAGGCCGTCTGTCTGAGCAGTGGAGGGGGTGAAAAGGAACCGGTTCCTCCCACACAGACCAGATCAGATTCCACCTACGCCTACACACACATAATTTCGCAGATGACCATTTACACACTCATATGCCAATGAACTTACATATGCACAATTAGATGGATGTACTGAACACATGCATGTACAGCCACACATTCGCATGTGGACACTCTAAGCAGAAGGATCTGTGATATAGCTTAACTGCCTAATGATCTCTGTATTTTACATTGATGGAACCAGATCAGCTGAGAGGGCAGACTGCTGTGGCGTATTTAAGTGGGCGGTTTTGGACCAAGGTGAACCGGACATTGGCCCATGAACCGGCTCTTATTGTCAATATAATAGTCTCAGACGAAGAAATCTGGCATGTGAATGGTGATAGTTGAAGTAATAAAAAGCAGCTTTTGTCCTGGCATTTCAGAGTCTTAGGTGGTACCAGTGCCAGCTAAGGCTGGAGGATGGAGGAGATAAATGAAACATATTGGCAGAACTGTTGAAAACTGACAGAATGTAGTGAAGGCCTAAATGTGAAAAACACTACCTTGTTATTATGAATGAAAAAGACATCACATAACTACACTGTATTCTCTGGTGAGCTCAACAACAGTAACTATTGATTTTCCTGCAGCATACATGAATCTTATGGGGTTTTATCATCAGCACGGGTCAACCCACTCGAATTGAGCTAAACGTACACAGGTTTGGCCTCTGTCTCCATCTGTTTCTAGCAGCAGGGGTTAATCGTACTGACTCAGGCTCAGCCAGCCCTACTTCTGCACAGGGCCGAGTGGGGCCAAGCTCTCCGCCTTCGACAGAATCGGCTCATCAAGACCGGTAAAACATTGCATTTATCAGTGATCTTCCATTAATCGGAAAAACTGAGACATGCTGACTGTTTTAGGCCTGTACTGTTGTTTCATAACACTCACCCAAAATCTGAAGGTATTTCCTGAATCCTCATGGACTCTTTTAACAATGCAAATGTGGGCTTTGGTTCTTCTTACCATTGCTAACTCTGAGAGCCGAGACAGTCCAAGTAACTTCAAAACAGTGCTGATTTATTCATAGGATCACAGGTAAAATTAACATTACTCACTCAGGTATCTTGCACCTCCAAACTGCTCGCAGGCAGATGTAAGATGAAAGACCCTGAGCCCACCAGGCCTATACATTATATCACCTCGGTTGGGCTAGCCCCATACTACACAGAAACGTCAACCGAGACGTCTCTGTTACCAGCTTTGCAGCTGGCCATAGCAGTAGTCAAAACATGAAGCAAATCAATGTGTGTGTGTGTATCTGTTGATTAAGTGGTGTGTAACTAAAAACATTCTCACGACCTCTAGTAACATGTCGTGACTTAAACATAAGAACATATTATGGCTAAGGCTACAGTTATACATGTCATAATAATAATATTAAACACCCTGTCTGCTGACAGTCATCAACTCTTCTCTCTAGTATCCTTGACCAGATGTACCCTGTAGAAACTCATAAGCATGACTAAGCATTTAACAGTCTAACTAGACATCCTATCTCCACTAAACATTTCTAATACATAAAGTATCTATCCAATATCTATCTGACTAAAAATACCTAACACAAATTAAAAATAATTCAGTCCAGTTCAGAAAAAATATACATTTTGTCAGTGTCTCAGGTAAAACAATTTACTTTTCAGAAAAGTAAAGCTGGAGACAGGAAATTATGTCTTTTTTTTTTTCCACCAACAGTCAACTACGATTTATCCATTTACCCACAGTCTCGCATGTTTGCAAAAGTAACAGCATAGTATTGTGTGTGGTTTAGTGTTTGTTTGTTTTTTTTAATTGACCATGATGGTGATTTTGGCTGCATAAGATTCTAGTTTAAAATCTATAGTATAAACATAAATGAAAATAATTTTTAAAAATCCCTCCTTTGTCACAGTAGACAGTTTTTACATTTACAGTAGGCCAGAAAATATACGTCATTTGCCTTTATTCTACTCTCCAGATAAAAACATGAAGCCTGTTTACTAATGTCATCATTTGTATGTGACATTTTAGAAGGTAACTAAAACAAAGGAATGACTTCTGCTCTGAGGAGTGAGGAACAATCATATAAGCGATTTGGGATGCACCCACTGCATATGGACCCCCTGACTGCTCCCTGATTCTGAGTCCTTGTCTGCCCCCAGTTTCAACAGTTTTCCTGGCCTGCCTGTTGATATATATACTGGACTAACCCTGTTCCCTGCT